GTCTCGGCCTCCCAAAGTGCTGGGATTACAGGCTTGAGCCACCGCGCCCGGCCAGGACATTTTCATTGCATGTAATTGTAGGTTTCTGTGATGATGGTGATGATTATTTGAAACGGAGTCTTGCTTTGTTGCCCAAGCTGGAGTGCAGTGGCACGATCTTGGCTCACTACAACCTCCCCCTCCCGCGTTCAAGTGATTCTTCTGCCTCAGCCTCCTGAGTAGCTGGGATTACAGGCACGGACCACCACGCCTGGCTGATTTTTGTACTTTTAGCAGAGACAGGGTTTCACCTTGTTGGCCAGGCTGGTTTTGAACTCCTGATCTCAAGCGATCCACCCGCCTTGGCCTCCCAAAGTGGTTTCGGTGAGTATTTGATTAATGTCAGTCTTGCCCAGGGGAGTGGAAGGTCCATGCAGACAGGGACCACTTTGCCAACCTTTTCTCACAGTGAAGTCTCTTTCCTTACCACTGTATCCTTATTGCCACACATAATAGGTGCTCATTAAATATGTGCTAAATAGGGGACTCCATTTTAGTGGCACCTCCTCACCTAATGTCAGACACTATCTGAAGTTTTACGTCCCTCCGGAAACCTTCTGCCTCCCAGCCTTGCCCATAGCTGACGATGCTTTTGCCATCCCTGAGCTCTCCAGTCGTCCTTTCCTGTAGGCCACCCAGACTCTCATCATGCACATCACCTGGGGATTTCACAAAGGGAAAGATTCTGATTTGGTAGGTTGGGGTAGGTGCTGAGAGCGTACATTTTTAACAAACTTCCCTGAACCTCTGCTACTGGTCAGGGACCACCACACTTTGGCCTGGCTTGAGAGGTAAGGGCACCAGGTCATAGCTGCTTGGCATAGAAGACATGGTTCACTCAGGGTCATGGCACTGGCCCATTGTAGGTGGGCACAGTAGTGTGTGCCTGCAGTCCCAGCTACTTGGGAGGCTGAGCTGGGAGGATCACTTGAGCCCGGGAGGTGGAGGTTGCAGTGAGCCGAGATCACGCCACTGTACTCCAGCCTGAGTGACAGAGCAAGACTCTGTATCAAAAGTTTAAAAAAAAAAAAAATCCCTTTAATTTCCCTCTTTCCCTCCCTGCTCACCACAAATAACTAAGAAAGAGAGAAAGGAGGGGCAGGGCATGGTGGTTCACGCCTGAAGTCCCAGCAGTTTGGGAGGCCGAGGCGGGCAGATCACGAGGTTTTGAACTGCAGGGCTAGAGTGGGTCTGTTCTTTCATTGAAAAACTATTTGTACACCTACTAGATACTGGCTAACATGGTGAAACCCTGTCTCTGCTAAAAATACAAAAACAAAATTAGCTGGGCATAGTGGCGGGAGCTACTCGGGAGGCTGAGGCAAGAGAATGGCGTGAACCTGGGAGGCGGAGCTTGCAGTGAGCCAAGATTGCGCCCCTGTCCTCCAGCCTGGGCGACAGAGCAAGACTCCGTCTCAAAAGAAAAAAAAAAGAGAGAGAGAGAGAAAGGAGGAAAGGCAAGTTTTCTTTTCTCTCCCTGACTTTCTAACGTGCAAGGGAAGACCTGGGTGAATGAGGGGAGGCAGCCTGTGTACTGTGTCACTCTTCTTTGGATCACTGTAGTCCCCATATCTGTGCCTAAAGAACTCTCATTGTCCTCCCCAGCCCTGTCCCCTCTCCACACCTCTGGGCTGTGTAGGAAGCCGATGAGTGGCTCCTGGACCTTTTCCAAGCACAGTTGAAGTGCGGGCCCTTCCCGTGGAACACAGCTCCCTGAACAGCAGTACAAAGTTGGGGAACCCACCGGGGACGGGTGGACGAGGCCTGCTCTGCCGGCTGGGGGTCCTCACAGGGGGCCTTTGTTGTCTTCTCCTGAGATCCCTCCCAGCACTCACAGGTAGCAGTGCTCTGATCTCCTGGACCTCTGGGTCTGGGAGAAATGAGGGGAGGGAGAGCTTTCCAAGTGTCTGGAAGTAGGAGGCCGGACTCTGCAGAAAGCACGGGCAATCCACATTTCCCTCTCTTTCCGCTTCTCCCCGTCCCGGCAGGTCCCTGGATGGCCGGTTGCAGGTGTCCCATCGGAAAGGGCTCCCTCATGTCATCTACTGCCGCCTGTGGCGATGGCCGGACCTGCACAGCCACCACGAGCTGCGGGCCATGGAGCTGTGTGAGTTCGCCTTCAATATGAAGAAGGACGAGGTCTGCGTGAATCCCTACCACTACCAGAGAGTAGAGACACCAGGTATGCTGCCTGGCCCGCCTGTGGGGACAGCAGGTGCTGGGGTCGTCACCTCTCCCCCGACCCCCCCACTTC